TATCTTAGAAGATAACTATATATAATACATACAAAGTAGTTGTACTGTAAATGGCTAACATGGCTTCCGTATATCCATCTAGTGATGAACTTACACTACAGTTACACAATTCAATACACTAATTACTTAGTGTGGTGCCATACTGCTTAATACAGATACATTAATCTGTTAACCTCTGCTAAAGCTAATTACATAGAAAAACATACTGTAGAAGTTTCTTAGCTTGATAATATATTATGAAATATGACACTGCAAAAGTGTATCAACATTCGTGGAAAGCAATAAATAATTAGTCTCTGAATAAACAAAAGATAAAAACTAATAAAAATTCTTGTTCATTGATTTTCATGGAAATTCTATGGATTACCAGTACTGTATTGACATGTAAACTACATTTTGTTTTAAAACATGAGAATTATGGTAAAATGCATACTAAATTGATTTATGGCAAAGGTGACAGCTTTAAATCACATGGTCCAGAGAAAGTTCAATCTTGGTGAAAGTAAAATCATAACCAAAAATGTTCAATATCAAAATCTGCTTAAAACTATACAAATTATGAGGTAAGAACAATAAATCTTCACTTCAAGAAAACTTGTTAGTAATTATGTTTCATATTAAAGGCTTACTCATTAAGCTGAATATTTTTATGGGTTAGACAAGATTTTTTTTATTACCATGTTTAGCAAACCCGCTGACTGCATATATTGATGATTTCAAATGAAAATAAAATTAAATTTTCGGCCAATTGGCACACCCACCGCCAAGAAAAAATGGCAATTTCAGAAAAAAAATTAATATTTTTCTTTATCTTTAACCCACCCCCACCTTAAAATCTCCAAAGGTTAGATGTATATTTATTCCTAATTAAATAAATTTGAAGCATTTACCATCCTATTGTACATTTACCAATAAAATTTTATTTTTATTTTCTGGATGATTTTGGCAAAACTATTTGCTATTTATAAGAAAAAAATATTTATTTTTATTTTCATTTAGCCCCCTTCCGATAGTCTTTATAAAAATAAGTATGCGAAACAAGGAATAAAAAAAGTCTCGCCTAAATTGTTCTCTTCTACACTAACTACACAGCTTTAACTTTATCCATAGAACATTCTGCCGGGCTATTTCCTTAAATTCATAAAGTATTTGACCACAAATCTTTAGTGAGGCAGTGAGTTGATTAAGTGTTATTGAATGAAATTGTTCGTTTATATCTAGTTATAGTTTGAAATTTTAAATATTTGTTTAAGTACTATGTTCATCAGATCTTTGTATAATTGTATCTAAAGACTTAGTAATAAACATGTCATCAATTTGGCTTGAAAACATTAAACTTGGAATTTTTGTTAAATCTGATCTGATAAAATAAAAAAGAAATCAATGAAATTAGTATGTTTGTTTATAATTGTTAATCAAATGACTTTTAATCGTAATTTGTTTGGAAGTAGCAACAGATCGCCATAGAGATAGCAAAGTATACAAACAAGCGCGAGTTTTCTATCATATGGTATCAGTTCACTTCAGCAGGAAATGTAGGACTCCTCCCCAAAACAGATACTTTGCTATGTCAACTGTACTGTATTATTACTCATCAGGACTTAGATAGTCATCTGTTATCAGGCAATGTTTAAAAAAATGTATGTTTTGTCATCAAATATTCCTTTATTCATACATGAATATTTAAACAGTGCAATCATATATAATTATAGGGCCCTTGCAACCTGTATTGTGCAGTAGCCAGGACTTCATTTTTACAACAAATGACTTTTCATTGTATTTATTATGTTCATTAATGAAAAAGGAACAAGAAACTCAATCTACTTTAACCAGGGTTGTACTATGGAAAACTAAAGTTGGGTGGTTGTGGAAAACATTTGAAGGGTGGGTGGGGCAATAACATTAGTAAATGTTAATAAAGATGAATGGAGGGCCATGAAATTAGCTTTAGAGTGGGTGGAACACTTCAAAGCTGGGTGGCCCCGCCTACCTCTGCCCAACATGACTTAATTTTTATTATTATTATTATTAATTAAACTGTACATTTAATTGGTGACAATCTTTAAAATGTAATAATTATCCTATTAAAGAAGATTATAAAGAATTATTTACATATTAAGAGTCCAACGGTCAGTAAATGTTTTAACAGCAATGAAGGCTTACAAGTGCTCTAAGCGTTGGGTCATTACTTACTGTATCCTGATGAATAAATTAAATGAAAGGAATTTTCAGCAAACAACCTTCATGCGCAATGGAAAAAAAAAAAATAATTACCACATGCCTCAACATGTAATATCCACAGTACTAGAAAATGTCCAATAAATGTTGTTGAATTCCACGAATTCAGTAAAAAGTAAATATTTGGAATTCTATAGTATAATGCCATGAAAAATTATTTTCATAAACATTAAAAAAAAAAAATCATTATGTTTGTATTTTGTTGATAATTAGGTTGATTCTAGGAAGTTCACTTATGGATCAATAGTAAATATTAAAAAAATGAATTGGTTAATTAACCAAGGAATTATGATAACCATCAGATTCGAAAAGGACTTAACAACTACTAGTCTAAAGCGACTCGTCGATCCAGTTTAGTATGTAACATAGGTACGAAAAATGAATATTAATCATGTAAAAGATACTAAAAATATGTGAAATCATGAATATTCATTGAGTTAGTCACTCTGCTTTAACTATGCTGGATATATTTGCTGTCCAAAACAAAAGTCGAATAATATGTTAATGCAGTGTACCTCAACCTATCCGATAATAATATGTAATGAATAGGTTGGGTAAATCTGGCCCTGAAATATATTATGAGCTATCAAATATGGCTTGTTTTATAATAATCATATTGGAATAAACCATACTTTACAGGCAGTTATATACCTTACTGTTGCTTCTACTGAATGTAAAAGCCATGTAAAATACAAAAATGTTTAATGCTATAATAGGAACGATAAGTCTACTGGCAAATATATAATGAAGTGTAATGTTTCTGTACAGTGGCATGGAATGGTTGGCTGGGTAACTAATTGGAATATCTAGTAAAACTATTAAGTATTTAGCTCTGCAGTCCTAGGTCTTATTCACTAGCCTGGAATAGAAAAATTAGCAGTCACACTTAAAATTGTTAAATGGTCAAGCTAAATTCAGATAGATTATAATTTTGGATAAAAATATAAAATTAAATTACACTAAGACCTTGTGGATATTTAAATTTAAATAAAATACTTCATTTTTGCATTTTTTGCATTCTTACATAATAAATAAACATAATAATGTAATGAGATTATTATGCAGATATTATTTATAATGTTTTGACAAGAATATCAAAGGAAGATATTCAATTACTTTTAATTTTCTCGATATTAAGATAATTTGGGAACACATTAATATTATTAGCAATAACAAATCATTTTCTATTTTGAAATGAGATTATTATGCAAATATTATTTACAATGTTTTGACAAGAATATCAAAGGAAGATATTAAATTACTTTTAATTGTCCCGATATTAAGATAATTTGGGAACACATAAACACTATTAGCAATAACAAATCATTTTCTATTTTGAAGTCAAAAGTACAATTAATGTAATTACTTGCAAAAATCATTAACACATAAATCACTAAATAATTAGAATACAAATTCAAAATTAAGAAAACAAAACTAAATCCAAAATCTATTATTACCATAGATCAAAAGATGTGATTAATAAACATTCAAGACCGAACAAAAAAGGTCACTCCATAACCCTTCTATAAAACACTCAGAAAAAACTTGTAATAAAAGCTAGCAACCTACTTAAAAATACAAAGTGAATCAATATTTTTTGTAGAATATCACAGATGGTAAATCTTATGAATAGATTGAACATTAATGTAACTGGTAGGTACCCACAGAAAGTGATTTTTATATATTTTTTAACCTATATTTAATGAGGTTGAACCATTTTCTCTAGTAGATGTTGCCAAGAATAATGTCTATTCTCTTATAAGAACTGGACCTAGACAGAGAATGTCTGCGACTGAAACAAAGCCAGGGGCAATAACCGATAAATGCATTTCAGGCTAAAACATAACATGAACAACTTTTATAGTTCATCAACAATGCAAGCTAAGGTATCTATGCCTGGCTGGAAGTGAAGAGTGTGGGACTTAAAGTCAGGCTCCGGAAGAAAAAAAAAATTTGATATGTTGTACAACTTATTTTTGTGAGACAGAAAAAAGTTGCTTGATGAAAAACTAAGCAACGGTGAATGAGATACAGATTTTTGAATATTTAAAAACTGGGGGGGGGAGGGGCGAACGCGGGGGGGGGGGGGGGGAGAAGGTGTAAAGGTGGTTACGCCCCTTTTTCCCCCAGTTTTTAAATATTCAAAAATCTGTATCTCATTCACCGTTCCCCAGTTTTTAGTTAAACAACCTTTTTCTGTCTTAGAAAAATCAGTTCTACAACTTAAAAAAATTGTTTTCCTCCGGAGCCTGACTTTAAGCTCCCAATCATGAGGCTGAAAACTTGAACAGCAATTGCTGTGCCAACCAACCCCCACCCCTCATGCAGCAACATAGAGACCCACAGGTATCAATCATAATATTAATTACTGGAGTTTCCCTCCAATTAAAGACCACTTCTGGGACTGGGATTTCCATGGTCCTTAGTAGCATTGGTTTACAATACTAAAGATAAAGACATTTGTTAAGACTACAGAAAAATGGTCCTTAATTGGAGGTGGTCTTTAATTGGAAGGAGAACTGTATTATATGAATTATCAAACAAGTAAATGATTGAAAAAAGAATGAGGTGATATGTAACTAATTAAGCACCATCATTTTATATGTCATGAGAAAAACAAAACATGCTCCCTCCCCCCACCCCGATCTTTTCTTAAAAGAGAACATTCATCTCTTTTTTAAGAGTATGTATATACACACATTTACGAAAACAATGACACAGAAATTAATAAATAAATCGGTCAAACAAGAAAATAAACATACCAGCTGGTCTGCTAATAGTAGAACTGTTTTGAGGCTGAATTCCCGAGAGCAGAAGTTGAAGAGATCTTCTAGGCTAGGTCCCAATAGTTCCATTACCATTACGTTATAATCACCCTCTGCACCACACCATTTTATTGTTGGTATTCCCACTGCAAAGAAGGAAGTACCATAGAAATTTCATCCCAAATTATTCATACAAATTGGTTCCGTAGCATAGAAAAATTGAAATACAGAGAACAAGTAGGAATGGCAAAGCCAATATTTCTGATTGAATATTTTCTAATTTATTATATAAAATGTAAACATTTTTTGTACTTAAAAAATTCTTTCACATTCCAGTATAGAAAGCAGCATAAAATTAACATTTACCATTATTTTCATATTTTTATTATAACAATAAAAACAATGACAACAATCAAAAAAATATCATAAACCAATAGGCAGAGAAAAATCATAGATAATTTAACTTTTTAATTCTTATAAAATTAGTTTATCTACACTATCAAATTTAAATAAAAAAGCTTCACATAAAATGTGATGAAAAATAAGAGTTGAACATGTTCAAATTTTTTTGATACAATTTGATAGTTTGTGATATGACGTCATCGTACCCATATATGGGCACATCACATTTTTTTGTCACATAAAATGTAATAGTGTAGACAAAGCTTAATTAAATGATTGTGAACTACAGATAAAACATCATACAGTACATATCCTGATATCATAAACACATAATCAAATAATAAAAGCCATCATTTACAAGGCTTTAAATTAAAGACAGATTAAGATCAATATACAATGTTCCTATAAAATCTAGGTCTAGAACAAAAAAAAAAAAATGAATCAAGAGGTTGATATCAAAGGTATTGCAAAGGTTAGCACTAGGCCACCAAGTATTTATTTTGCTTGGATATGTAATATAAAGATGGTTATAAATCAGACATGTTATTACAAGTCAATGGGCCTAGACCAATGTCAACATCCTACGGAATGAAATTGAACTCTAGTACAGTGCTTGCACTATAGCAGAGAAAAGCTAGCATCACCCAATTAAAACCTGCACTGAATGAGGGCTGAAACATTCGTGCAATCATGTGATTGACAGTTAGAGGTAACACTTCCTAGAGGCATTAACAAAAAAAAGTAATAAAAAAAAAGAAATTGATTTCACTTCTTTAGACAACCACTGTTGGGCTACATAAACATTTGTGCTGCAGACATTTTATCAGGTAATTTTCATGGTGAGAGGTACAACATTTTTTCTTCAGGCCTGAACTGTCTGTACTCTACATAATGAGTTAGATTTAAATAATAGTAGTGTAAGCTAATTATGTGATCGCAGTGGTTTTAAATTATGAATTGTGATGCAAGTTGTGGGGCTGTTAATTGTAGAATTCTAGACACAGAATTGATTGCTTTTTGGTGCAATGTACTCGGGGAGAGATTGATAGCAATAAACAAAACTGTTCTTAAATACTTCAGTTTGTAGCACTTCTCATCAGTATCATAATTGGATTGTATTGGGCTGGAATCATGATGTAGACAATATACTGGATTCTTTTGGATGAAGAATTATGACAATCTCCATTAATCTGTTTTTGATTGTCACATCTTCACATTGATTTGCTACATCTCAATATTAGAATCAACACAATGGTGACAGGACTAAGATAGCAAGGTCATGTAACATTAGCCTTGTGTTCTTACAATGTTAATTGATTAGTAAACAATAACTGCAAAGATTGTTACTAGGAACAAATGACAATGACTGTCAGAAATCTTTGTTTATATACACTGCTTTAGAAATACTTAAAAGGTTAATTATCATGCCCTCTTTAGTAACCTTTGACCAGAGAAATAGCCTATCTACATTAAATAGTAAATTTATAATTCTTTATTATATAATCTTAATTATGACTAATCTGCTATGTCATGCTACATTATTATTATTATTATTATTATTATTATTATTATTATTTGATGGCAAATGTACCTCCAACTTCCTTATTATGAAAAGACATGGCCACTGGTGTTAAATAAAGAGTGTTACATGATGAACTTATTCAAATACAATTATTGAAAATAAATATTGTTAAATAATAATTAAATATCCTCCCTTCTAAACTGTTAAATACGCCTACAGTTTTAGAGATGAACTACTGTACTTATAGAATATTCAAAACCATATACCATTGATAGCATGCTTGCAGTTCATTGTTCATAGCCACAACCCACAAGTCATGATTTTTGTGACATCATTGGGGATGACTAAGTGGGTGTATTGTCTACCATGTATTTTATAGTTTGTATTGTATTCTAAATTTCAAGTGAACCATATTGATCAATAAAGTATAGTGCATCTATTATGGGAGCAGAATTGGGGAAATGGTTCTCTGGTTCACACTCTCTACCTTGGTTGTAATTTTTAAGAATCACTCACTGTGCATTGTTTTAATCAAAAAGTTTATAATTTAAAGGTAAATTGGTAAATCAAGTACATACCGTATATATTCGAATAAACTCCTCAGGGCATGTCTACTGTTCAGAAGGGATTCTGAGTTTATTCTAGCATGGAGGAATTAGTTTGATTCGAGGGAGGCCTTTTTCTTTTTTTTTTTTGAGTAAAATGGATATGTATACTCAAATGGCCCTTAATTCCACTGTAAATTTGGAGTTCTACAACACTTAATTACTGTTAAAATGTGTTATCACACAATCATAAAGACTTGATCCCAACCAGGTTACAAAAAAAATGTACTACTACTGGAGTACAACATTAATAGAATGTGTTGCGAATGATGTTGGATCCATTAGTTTTGCTTAAAGTCCTTTTGGGGGAGGCATATATTTAAGAGAAACATGAATGCCCTGGGGCGTTTATTCAAGGGAGGAGTTTATTCTAAATGAAGTTCTGGAAGGGACGTTTATTCGAGGCAAGCATTTATTCAAAGCGGGGCATTTATTTGAATAAATAAGGTATTATAAAAGATCAGATGAAATTATTTTTTTAAAACAATATTACTTTTTAAAAACAATTTACTTTGTTATTATCCAATATCAATATATACCTGTTTAGTTATACATAAATTTTCTACTGTTTTTAGCATATCCCTTTAAATTAGCTTTTCTAAAAGCTACATACCGTATAATTACAATTAAAAAGCCAGACATAAATCAAAATCTGATACTAAAGTCCCTGAAAATTGTTGGCTGATTGTCAGTGGTATGTTAAGGTATGCATACTTCCTCCATTACATCTCAAACTACTAGTTAGTGGCAGAATATTTCAGGGCACCTCTTAAATTTACTGTTCAGTGAGCATAATATACCTGACTATGCAGTGAACTGCTACACTGATAATTTTAATTCCTTAGCACAAGTATTCCTCCTTCTTTGACCCTCTGACCTTACAGACTTTCAAGTGCAAGGTCAGGGGTTCAAGTCCTAAACTACAAATTTCTTCAATGTTTTTGGGAACGGTAATTTATCAACATTGATTATTATGCGAGCAGCATAAACGCTACGTTCACAACGAGCACGGAAAACGATTATTCAGGTCATTCATGCTTGTTGCTGATTGATCTAATGAAAAAAACACATGATTTTATGATACAGATGGCTTTCAGAACCATCACTCCGGATCTGGAGTCCGGATTGGAAATCATACGAATTTGAAGTGAACAGTCCTATTCTTTACCACTGAACCAATTTTTCATGATTTTTTGTATTGGCACCAGACCGGATCCGGGCTTTGGAGTAAACTTAGCTTTACTCATAGCTAAAAAAAAAAAAAAAAGTGCACCGTCTTATGGATAAGACGTTCAAGCTGTTGGTCCCGTGTGCAACATGTCCCTTGTGTATGTTGAAAAATGTACAAAACTACACTTTTTGAAAAGAATTAGGGGATTGTCACCCAGTGTACTACCCAATCTCTACCAGAAGAGACCCAACTGGAAATAAGTCTTCTTCAGACTTTTGTTTACACCGAATAAATTAAATCCAATACACGTCTTTAAAAAATAAATGGGCACTACTAATACAGAGAAGCATTGCTGCGGGGTCGCTTGTGCTTGGCGCCAGGGCCGACTGTTCCATTTTGTTTTCGAGGGTTGTTCTCATGTTTGAGAAAGAATAGGTAATTAGTCAATTTATCCAGGTAAGTAATTCATGAAATAGACATAGAGATTCCACGTTGAATTTGAATGTTAATTTAAACCCTTGTTCACACTAACAAATCTTATGTCGCAAATAGCCATGATTTGACCTTATGTACTATATGGTCGAGATAATATCATGCCCATTTTATAGTGGACAGAACATAAAATTCACCTATGATGAATATTCCTCTTGGACTAGCAAAATTCTCCAGGGAATGCTTGGAAGGCTATTTGGTCAGTGTGTATGATTGATTATTGACTACTAATGTGAAGTGCTTTGAGAGTTGGGATAATGAAGGCACTTTAATTAAATGTCAAAAATTAAAAAAATATTCTAGACAAAATTTATTCAACTACTGTATTTTATAAATAAAATCATGAGACCGTGTCTGATTTGTTCAAAATATATTTTTAATAACATGATTATTAAGAGTTTAGATATGATTCAAATGTTTTTAATTATTATATGAATTATGCATAGTTTTCTGTCATAAATTTCTGATGAATATAATTATACATTGTATTTTTGGCAACCAGAAGCATTCTGCAGAATTGTAATATTATTATAACATTAACATTATTAACAATGTTAATTATAATATTATATTATTAACATAATTACCTTGAATTGAAGACAATTTTTGACAATACTACTGAGCTTTTGAAATATTAACAGATTTTCAATTTTAGCTTTATTTCCTTTTTGAAGCTGATAATTGTTGGTAAATTAAAATTTATAATATACTTCACAATTATGCCATAATTTTAGGTACCTACGGATTTAATATATTTATTTTAATATATTTGAATAAATAATTAATTATTGTGAAACATATTCCTAAAATGAAACGTTAACTAGGTTTTCTTCAAAGGCATAGCAATAAAATTTGTTTTCATGACGAATGCTGTAGTATAAGCTATGTTTGCATTAAACTGTAGATGTACTGCATGCAATGTGATCTTGGACACACATATTTGTTTTACAAGGGAATGAATTTCTACAGGATATATAAAATAAAAATAACACTGAATTGAAGCTACTTCCGACCTCAAACTCTTCAGAGTTCAATCTCATTTGGACAGATTTTCCACTGCAAATACTAATAACGAACCATTCAGTGTTACTGCATGGAAACAAGAGAGCTGGGAATTAGACCCTTGGAATATGCAAATAGAAATAGTACAACTGTGGATGTGATTACCATTACGGCATGTACTCGCACAAGCAAGGCGACAGCATCATGTATGGATGTGCGTAGCAGAATTAAATATGTAACGACGGCTTGCTTTTAGCTAGCTAGCCACTGAAACAAATCTTGCCTTTTGCAATACATTCTGTTCTACTTATAATAATGCATGCATCAGAGAAGATATTCGACATGCTTTGGCAATGTATATCGGGAGATTAAAATATTGAAAGGATTAGGCCTTCCCTTATTTTATTGTCATATTTATCTGGGTTTACTTTATCTGTGATAATAATAATAATTATTAATAGATAATGAAGAAGAGCAAATTTTACTGCAAAAACAGTTTTTAAAAATCTTTTTTTAGAGATATCTATTTAAAATATTATAATACACTTTTTTTTTTAAATAAACACATTTTATAAGAACACTGAGGCTGAAATTGCTTAAAAATTAAGAACAAAATAAGAACAAATTGAGGCTCAGGATTGTCAATCTAGAAAAACAAAAAAATTATATCTGTACCTTATGTGCAGTAGGTGTGACTATGCAATACCCTCTCCCAGTACAGTATGCGTACCTACCTCCCATTTGTGCCATTTTTTAACCGGGGCCATTTTTTGGGCCTTTAATTCAGGGGCCATTTTTTGCAAGGCCGGTTTCACCTCCCAGTACAGTGTATACTGCTGTACAATAATAATTTTCTATGTTTAAAAAGTGTGTAAAATAAGAACAAAATAAGAACATTTTAAGCCTGAAATTGGCCAAAAAATAAGAACACTGAGCCTGGCAAAATTTTACTGGTTCTTATAAAAAAAAAAGAAAAAGAAGTGTAGTACCCTGAATAACTTCAAGAGTATTTTTTTTTTTATTTGTATTAATACATTTCGTCAGATGAAATAAAATAGATAACAAATGAACTAGTAAATATTGATTTAAATCCCAAATTCTACCACAATGGCTTTAAGAACAAAATCACAAAGACTTATTGTTAACCAATCAGTAACATCCACAGTGTCTATGGATACCATTGTTCATGAAAGTTTAGAAAAGCTGGGAAATACGGTCAATAACAATGCCAACTGACCGTACAGTTACAGTCAGTAAACGCTGGTAAACAAAGCGGCTAGGTTTGTGTGCTTAAGGTACTATTCTCATTGCTGACTCTTTAAACTGCAAGTGTCGTCCTCTGACAACAAAATGTAAATATCTGTCTACATTATCAATGTTCATGTGACAAACATGTTTGATTTACCCATATGGGGACATAATATAATGATGTGATATCATGACCCATTTTAAATTGAAAGTAATAAAGAAACTCTTGATAATACAGTTAAACTTGTTGACTGCCTAACTTGAATAATTTTTAAGTCGATCTTATTTTACATTTTACATGCCAAATTGTTGTGTTTTCCATTAATTAACCCAACTATAAGTCAAATTTCATCCAAGCCAAACAATTTTTCAATACCATTTTTGATTCAACTTAGGTGATGTTCAACTGTATAATAGAATGTTACCCAAGCTCCTATGATACACATCTAGAATTCATGAAGGCTAATAATTAGCATACAACATTGGAGGCAAAATTCAATTCATTAACAAAAAGTTTCTTAATATGACTTGGTATTTTTCAATTGGTAAAATGCAAATTTTCAATTCACAAATGAGTCATCACAAAGCTATATATTTTATAATCTTTGGTTGAACATAATTTATTCCATTTCCCTCCTGTCTTATATTAGTATACGGACAGACATTAAAACTTGTTTCTCCTTTCCGTAGTCCAAAATTATAATTAGATATGCTATCTACAGTAGGGGTCTTAACGATCACATTAGTCATTTTTCAGTATAAAAATACAAAAATGGTCAGCATTTGATTTATTACAACTGTTTAACAAAAACACAATCCAAAGTTATTTTAACTTAAGATGGTAAAACTATCAATGGATTGGTATCATAATTTTTTTTCCCATTTCTTTATTCAATAATATTTTAACAAATTTTCATTGAAAATATAAAGATATAAGGATTAAGAAATTATTAGTCCAAATATAATTCTTGGTTTGGAAAGATTTGAACATAGGTCTCTGGTATTAAAAGGGAAAATAGACTAATATCTAGTACCTGCATATCACTTGGATATAAAGTAAATGGGGCTCATATTTAGGGTGGAGCTTGTGCTCAGTTTCAAATAGCGTGAAGCGTATGAGGGTGTGATGTTCCCCCGGGTGGGACTCTGGTCCACGGCACGTTACTCCCAGTAATTTGCTGGTAGGTACCCACGGATAGAGCTAGGTAGACTGAAGCAATGTAGATAGCCTCAAGGACACTTAGCGAAATGCACAGTGAAGGATTGAATCCCCGACCTCGAGGATGGGAAACCAAACCATTTCCACTGCGCCAAACTGCCTCCATGTGATATGATACATAACCACATAATTTGTGGTTTTTATGATCAAACATAAACAAATATAATTATTTAGACTTGCTATAAAATATCAGATGATTAACACCTCTTGTAATATAACAGGATGTACTGTAGGGATAGAAACCACATTCATTCTCAACTGTAGTAATATCAAGGATGCATCATCGTACAGTACCTATTACTTTTAGCAAATCTCATGGAGTGATTAGGATCGCTACTGAAATAGATAACCAAGTGCCTGTAGGTGTTTGTCTATTTGTTTACATGGTTGTTTATTCATCTAAACAGCAAACAATGATGATATAATAGCCTGGTTCACGTCGAACTTTTATCTAGATATAGATCCACTTAACTAGTTAAAAGTTCAACATGAACCACTCAATTATAGCTAGATAAAGGCTTAAGTCACTTAAAGTTAAGTGACTTAACTTCACTAGATTAACGATAAATTAACTTGCTTAACGGTAAAGTCGGCTGAGATTATAAGGACACAATTACGTAACGTAGGCATCGGCCAGCGTTGTTGTGCTGTACCACCATTATCATCTTCTGGCTGGCAACAACTTACTCCAACAATGCTAACAGCAGCAGCATAGTAGTCTCATTAGTCTGGTTTTCAGAAATTATTTATAATATTATGGGTAAAAACCCAGCAAACGTCCTTTTACGAAGTCGTATTACAAATGACCTTTTCATCATCGACCAAGTAGTAACGTCAAAAATTCCGATTGCGTACGTTTTCCAAAGTGATAATGTATATTATTCTTAATAATAAAATCAGATTTGTTGTATTTATTTATTTATTGACAATTCAATCTTTTCCATTTCCACTATAATAGTCATTATTAATTCAGATTCAACGAACTACCACCAACACCAGTCGTTAAAATGAGCGCACATGTTAATACGATGACGAAATAAAAAGTGTGTTGAAGTCAGCAACTTATTTGACACCGCGAAGCTAGATTTTCACGAAGTGCATGTAAACAACACAATTGAGCGATCTAAAAACTACAAAACAGGACATAAAGGTCCGTAAAGTATACAGACGTTTTAACGAGAATTAAAACAATATTTTGTTAAATGGAAGAATGCTAGCGATTAAAATAAGTCGTTTTTTATCGAAGGTAAATTTAGCTAGGGCCTAGAGAGTCTACTACTACTTAGATTGCGATAGAACACACTGCTGCACTGTCAGTTGGCTCGTACTGGTCGGCTAGGCTAGGTAGTGGAAACTGACACCTGATCTACATATAGTAGTTTTAACGAATACCCCTTGTTACTAGAGGTTCGTAAAACACAGTAGACGTTTTATTAAACAAGCATTCCCACCGTGTGACATCGACGGCCTGAAACTGGCTGGCTGTTTATCTGGCTTTAACTTGGCATCGAACGCAATTAGGGGATTATCGTATCATGTTTCAAGACGGGTATATCTAGATAAAGTTCGACGTGAACCAGGCTACTGACCCTAATAAAATGAGTTGAGAGTCAAGAGTAAATTACGTCAAACAAATAAAAGATTGCTGCTGTTGTTGAAAAGGCACGCAATCATACTGTAATAATAGTGTAAAATAGATAAAAAGATACCAAGTATAAACTATTTTATTGTGTTCTTTTTACAAGTGTATCTGATATTTTGGTTTTGTATGTGAACACACTGTGTTTGAGCATGGACCTTATTAATAGGTCCATGGTTTGAGTGTTCCACTGATATTTGTGTTTGTCCAATAAATTGTTATTTTTAAAAACAGGGCAAAAATCCCTTATTTAAGGCCAAATAAAAGAAATTACTAGATTCCCCTCACGTATCCCCTTTCTCTACCTCACCAATTTTATTTATTTATTTTTTTTTTATTCCCTTTATTTTCTGAAATGTACGAAAATCTGGCTAACTCGCATCAGTAAAATTCATTTCTCGATCGTTCGTGTTGGGGATACACATGGTGTGAATCATTTCTTTAATTTGCTTTCAATGTGTCTACTTGGCAAAAGTAAGAAAGTAGTAGTTGTTGTACATCGACCATCTTGGATTGGAATTGCCATCTCCAAGTTAAAAAAAAAAAATGCCCTCATTCTCCTTTTTTAAAAACATTAGGACCAGAAACTACTTTTTCTTTTTAACTGGCCTAATTATTTATAATATGAAAGTACCTACCTCCACCTTGCATCATTTTGTAGAATTTGCTTTCTATGTGTAATTGCGGATGCTTGGTTTTGATACATTCCAACTTAATTGCAACTTCTTCTCCATTGGTTATATTGGTACCTGTAAAAGAAAGTATACATAGAAATTGATTGTCTCTACCTCTGTACTATTTTATTTGTATTATGACTAACCATAAAGGTTGTAATTACCATAACGTACTATACTTTACTCAACATTTTACGATCTTATCACACAAAAGTAAACAAAAGTACAAGGTAAAAAATATTAATAGGTTATTCATTTATTGATTGTCTGGTTGGTAACTATCACATATACAACAATTGTTTTGTCATAGCTACAGTTTGAAATGTTTATATTTGAATGCACCTAACAAATACTTAGTGCTTTCAATCACAAATAATTTACCAAAATTTAACATCAATAACAAACTCACTAAAATCTGTATTTCACATACTAAGAATCTAGAATTATAGGATTCATAAGAATAAAGTATTAATTAAACATGCTTGGTTATTATGCTATATGAACTTTAATAACTTTGATGATAATTGTAAAAAATAAATTGATGAATCATTAGATTCAACAAAATGCCTCACAGTTCGATTTACACTGGGACAAAGTTATGGCAAACGCACGGTGGGACATTTCGGAGAGGGGGAAGGTAAAATTTCAGCCTACTGTAAATTCAGAACCTAGCTGTCAACCTGCTAATTATTTCCTTCTGTTCACTAATGTATGGAATTTTATAAATTATTAATGTGTAATTATAAATCGTTGGAGGGGATTCCCCACAAATATTGTGAATTGCAAGCATAAATAATCTAGCATTAGGGTCACTGAGACCTTTCACCATAGTATAGATACAGGATGGTAAACATAAGGTACTGTAGCCGTGCATCAGACCATAGCATTATATAGTGCAATCTCCCCAACTACTGTAGCAATGTGTAAAGGTCAATGAACACTCTAGGTGGGTTATTACAATAGTACAAGTTAACACTTAAATACCGGATTTCCCCAAGTGTACTACTACAGGTGCTATTAGCAACCGGATTAATGTTTGCATTATCAGCATCACCACATTTCTTGGAGGTGACTCTCTTTACATGCTTTTTTCGACTTTTTCTGCCAATTGTAGGGGAAAAAAAGTTCTAAAAAGGAATGTTCCTTATAAATTAGCTTTTCTTTTGATATATAAATTAGAAATTTTCCACAACTGCAATTTGAAAGTTTTTCTGACGATACTCGTTTCCGTCGCTAGCATAGTTAAAGCCATGGCCTAGTTAGCTTAAGCGATAAAGTAGGCTAGGCCTATGTCATGGCGCTGTAGTATATCGCGGCTATGCCTAGGCCTATATCGCGGCTATGCCTAGGCCTACATCGTGCAGGATAGCCCAGCGACTTTGGCATAACAATAATAATAATAATAATAATCTTTCTACTAAAGTTTGTATGCTTTTTTGCCTAGCTAGGCTCATAATTGTCATCACCATCAAATTTATCACATTTAGATGGCTAGCTGTCGTCACTATGCTGTGCAAAATGGTGAATAAAATACTATTTTTTGACATCGCGATAGGCATCAAAATTCAACTCGCTTCCTCAGCTATGCAGGGTTGCGGTGCGACCATTCTGAATGGCAAATATTAGATATGATTTTAAATGATAATTGTTAAAAATTTTTAGTTAGCACAAATCGGGTTAATGCGAATGCAATCATGAGCAAGAACTAATGACCTCTTGACCCAAGCAACAATAGAAGGCTAGCTTTTACTAAAAATAAGGAAATTCATGTTGCAAACAAACCATGTTTCTTTGTTTTATTGATGGCAGAGATTGCTGCCCCGGCTGCAAAAGACTGAACAGTGGGAGGAAAATTACCGCAGCTAGTATAATAAAATAAGGGTTAACATACTGTATTCAGTCACAGCCAATAAGGTCAGCTCAAATAGCGCGCAATGGTTATGAGTCTCCATATAGCCAATCATTTGAAAAGAACTCTGGATAATGACATTTTGAACAAATTGTAAAATTAATTAGTAACAATAAATATATCATATTCAGAAAGTGTAATGGCTCGTGAACATTTGTACCATACATTATGTAAGTCCAACAGCTTTCAACAAAATCTGAAGGTCATTACAATTTAGCTATGTTCAACGTCAATGCCAGGTATACTGTACATTTACAGTGTATGTTACACCAGGCATAACAATAACAATAACATGCTTATAAGAGCATTTAGATTTGGCTCAGAAAGTGCAAAATACCCCTTGCTTGGAGAATTAATTGTAAGGACAAAATACTGCAATACTTGCAGTGAATGGTTACAGATGGATATGAGGTTATAGTGGGAATGTCGTATTTCAATACAGTACTTCTCTGGGACAACCAACTTTCCTGTGTTAAAGGTATTTTAAACCCCTAGCATTACATAACCCAAAAAGATCACATTAGACAGTTTTCAATCCCACTAACAAATGCCTGGTCTTTGCTATCATTCAATTAAATTCATACACATTCTTTATACGGTAACAAATTCTGAGCACATGTTTTACACAATACTTTTAATCAATTTAAAAAACAAGTTTGAAAATATAAACAATTACACCTTACTTAATTACAACAATTAAAATATAAATAAATGACAGCTAACTTTCCTATGTTAAAAGGTATTTTAACCCCCAAATATTGTACACAATACTTTTAATCAATTTAAAAACCAGTTTGAAAAGATAAACATTTACACCTTACTTAATTACTAACAATTAAAATCTAAATTACTGTCAGTTAAACACTACGGCCTACCACCTAACTAATGATAACTTTTTATTCGTGTTTGTCTTTATATATACAGCAAACTAAGTGGTACAGTATGGGTACCACCTAGGAATAGATAATGTATATTTGGTACTGAATAATTCATGCGTGACTCAAGAAATACTTTCAGGTAGCTGAGAAAATAATTGAACATTGTGATACATTCCTTTCCAGAATGCCATCATTCTATTTTATGAATTTCAGTAAAAGCTGTAAATGCCACAAACAAGAACATCTATTCTTCAGAATTATTCAGAATCAGTCGGTATGGCTCACTCTGAAGCTAAATTGTTACTGGATTGGATTTATTTGGTATAAACACCAAGGACAGCCCACAAAAGTCTGGAAGAAGACTTATTTCGAGTGGGGTCCTTCTGGTGGTGATTGGGCAGTACACTGGGAGACAATCCCCTACTCTTTTCCGAAGAGTGTACTGCGTTCTTTAACGTGCACATGGGCCATAATGCACACAGGACCATTGGCCTAAGACGGTGCGCTATTGTAACTTGTACAGTATTTCACCCCTCTAGTTGAAACACAAGGAGAGGCAGCGATGGGAATTGAACCGGGGACCTAGAGATCTCCACGGCTCAGCGCACACACAGTGGCTACCACCAGATTAGCCAACTGAGCTAAGCTGCTCTCATGTAAATCTCTTATAGTAAATGATGTAGTTTTACTCAGGTAAAGCCTGAAAAAGAAACTGCCAGTCTCAGGAGCGAGATATAGATACAGTTACAAGGAAGGGATTTGGGGATTTAGGGTTGATAGGCTAATTTGTCATTATCCTTTTACAGCGTAATAATTAATTCATAAAATAATTCTTCAGTTAAGATTCAAATTCATTTCATTGAGCCATTTATTTGCCATAAACCATAATTGATGCCTAGTCACAAACCAATTAGCTACAACAGACAACACCCAACAAAGATACAATGCAAGCCCAATTATTATTTTTTTATTAATAGTTATCCATGCCTGCCATCAAGGTCAGAATTTGTTGCGTACATTGCACTGTCTACCCATTTGGTATGAAAAAAGAACATTGTATTGACATTTGAAATTAAACATGTTCTTGCCTATAGTTGTCTGCAATTACATCTAATGCGATTGATTACAGTTTTGATGGCCATTGTGTTGATTTGAAAGAAAAATACATATCCTTAAATCGCAAACAAGCCACACGCAGATACTGTAACATTTTCAAGGTTTTTTTTTTTGTTTTTTTTTGTTATAGTACCTGTATACCCTTGTGAATCAAAGTGACATAGAAATTACCCAATAATCTGTAATAAACACCATACTCAAATAAGCTCCTCTGTCGATTTAAGCGCCGCACTGAAGCCTCCAAAACTGTTAAGCACTGCAGCACTTATTCTTCCACTATTTATGCTTTTGATTGGGAAATATTCAAGCAGAACACTAGACAGATGCTATGACTGGTATTACATGGGAAATACTTGCCTGCTGTATAATGCTGATAACAACCATATGGTTTATAAATTGTTCTCAATGCATTAAAACTATCCTATTCCATACTGTATTCAGTAGCCAACAGCAATTCTTGACAAAGTCTACAGACAGCTACACAAAGACATTTGCTTTGTATGTGAGTGGAACCTGAGTATGATTATTTTAACATTTCCAATTCAATTTTGATTCAATTCTACTTTCCACCTATACAGTAATTCATCAATTCAACAACTATCAACAATACCAAATTCGCATCACCTGTAAAATCATTGCTTTCCAGTTAGAGGAAAAAGAAAACAAATAGCAAGATACAGTAACTATTACTGTGTAATAATATTAAATTATTAACATAAAATGTTCATGATTTTGTATGAGCCTATTATATATAAAATAACTTTATTCATTAACACATAAAAATATACAGAATTGAATTGAGAACAAATATTTACAAGCCTAGGTCAAGTCTTGATCACAACTGTAACTGATTTATTTTTGTTTTTACTATCACATTCACAGTTCAGACTATGTTATAGTTCAACAAACCTTAAAGCTACGTTCACATCTAAGCCTGGATCCAGTCCGGTGCCCGGACAAAAAAATCGTGGAAAATAAGGGTCAGTGGTAAAGAATAGGACCGTTCACATAAAATTCGTATGATTTCCTATATGGACTCCGGATCGCACAGATTTATCTGAGAGCCATTTGTATCGTGAAATCGTACGTTTTTTCCCCTTGGATCAACTAGCAACAAGCTTGGTTGTTTCAAACCAATCAACACATACATACTTAACCTGAATAACCGTGTTCCGTGCGCAAGATGTGAACGCAGCATTCAAAAAACGTAGCAACTCACGATATTTTGTCCGGGCTCCAGACCGGATTCAGGCTTGATGTGAACGTAGCTTAAATGTGGAAACTAAACAATATCTGAACAATTGTTGGAATCTTGCAAAACATGCAAGCAGGGAGACCCCAAGGAAGTTGCCAGCAACGGCGGCGCCATTAGCCACAGCACTTTACTAATTAATTAGAGTTGTCTATAGACCTTTAGTGAAAGATTTGTGATGTCACATTATAAGCCAATGAGCAAGGTGAAACAAGGAATTAACTGTTATTGCTAGGGCTTAATTATAACATGCAAAGAAAATTGAAACATAGGCCTGTACACTAAAAATTTTTTAAGTGTACAGGATATTATTATATATCAACAAATGGCTTCTGTGAATATCTGAAGCACCGCAGCTCTTATAAAATTTTTGGAGGCTTCAGTGGGGCACTTATTCGTGAGCGGTGCTTATAGTACAAATATTGGTGTGATGCTTTCCATGCCCGTTCTGCTATTACCTATTCACGTATTTCCGCAGTTCGGTAGGCCTATGATAGGTCCTACGTCATCATAAATAAACATTTAAAGAAATGCTTTTCTTCATTGGTGTTATTTATTCATTTCAACACTGTATACATTGTATTTAAAACCCTGTTTCTCAAAGTGTTTCATTAGAAACAGGGTAATATCCTCGACTGAAGCGCCACGGAACTTATTCAAGAGCGATGCTTAGAAAAAAAATTATATTTGGCGCAAAGCTTATTCGAGTATTTGCAGTATTTATAGTTTCAGTAACATACTGTTCATATGTTCCTGATGACGACATAATTATTGTCGAAATATTGAATGGCAACACGATGGCGTGTATTTCAATACTTGGGAGTATGTATTATACTTTCTTATCTGAGATTAATCAGTGGACCTTTTGGTTACTGTTAATAGAGTATCGTATTAGTACTGTCTGATGACAAGTGTCTCTCTTACCTTTTGAGCTTGTTAATTTTTGGCTAAGGAGATAATTGCTATAATCCTTACATTAAATCTTCAGAGATGCTAATCCCTTTTACATGATTTCTTCAGCCATTCTTTCTAGTAGGCTTAGCAACATTATCATATTTTGTTTAGGGTCAATGTAATTTCCATAATTTTAATCTTGAAAAAAAAACAACACACACCTGAACTGTAACTCCACCCTATCTAAAAACATACATAGAGTGAAATGATAATCTTTGTCTTAATTTTATATTTTCTCCATTAACAGTACACTATTAACCACCATCCTCATTTGCGTAATTTAGGAAGGAATCATGATTAGGCCTATTATATGGATGGATTCAGTGACTGTTCATGTTTATTCATCATTAGTTTTAATAGCCATATCCCAGACTGAGTAAAATAAGGGCCTGCACAATCGCATGCGCAAATATTTAGTCTATAAATCAATCCATGCATTTTAAAAAATATGGGCGATATTCGTAAAGTAAAGTAGAAAATAGATCTTGGTCTAGTTACTGTAGGTACAGGGCCAATTCTGTAGGCTGAGAGTTGGACTACCCTATACTGTAAAGTTGCGAGGAGGATCTCAATAATCAGCTGTAGGCTAGTTTCATGCACAACACTTCACCACTTCAAAGTTTCCTGTGACCGACAAAGAGAAACATTGAGAGGAGGCAGTCTCAACGAGTATTAACTCATTATAACCTCCTTATATCACTAAGGTAAGAATCACTAAGGTAAGGATATATTCCCCGCGCAGGCCTCACTATACAGTCTGGAAACTACCTACTGATTTCACGCTGTACGCAACTTCTTGTTGATCTGAAGAGGACTTCTTGTTGACATGAAGATGATTTCTTGATGAGGAGGGCCTAATTATTATATTATTAACATTAATACTAATAATTTACCAAGCCAAGCCCTGTATTAACTTAATTAAGGTAGGATAGGCCAATGACTATGACCTAGGCTAGTAGAAGGGCCTTTAACTTACTTAGTTTGAATTCCAAGGGGGCTGGCCCAGCTAGGCTTATCTGTCTGGCCCAGCTAGGCTTATCTGTCTAGGCTCCTAGGCCTAGCCTACTCTAGAGAAGCTAGGCAGACAAACTGTATCTATCTGTGTTTTATAACATCAATTGATAATCCTTACCCAGATATATGTCTCCAAATGAACCACTTCCAATCTTACGCCCAAGACGGTATTTATTTCCTACTCTCAATTCCATCCTGAAATAGTGAAAAGTTCCACATAAGAATCTTTCTTATGAAAAACGTATCAACTGGAAACAGAAACCTGGTCACTTCCCTCTGCAGAGATCAAGCGGACAGCTTAGTCATTAGTATGAATCAGCTGTCTTAGCTACGTCGTCAACAAAAGACCTACACCACCAAAAACACAATAAATATCACCTTTTTCAGTCACGATTTCTTCGATCTATTCCAAGTATAAGTAAAACTAATTCATCTAGCAACCAAATCCGTCGTCAATATTACCGATAAAGTATTAGTCATCGTTTGATGACTTAGATTGTAAACTGATTTTTCAATTTATTATTTTGATCTTCACAAACGTCAACTATTTCTCTGTATACATTCTCCCGTTTTTGATGATAAGATTTACGCATGCGCTAATTTTTCATTGCAGTCTCCATTTTCAACCCGGATGATGACCTATATGACAACATGAGTAAAAATGTTATTTACGTAAATTAAAACTATTATATTACGCCCGGATATTTTTAAAATCTAAATCTATTATATTTAAACAAATTTTTCTTGAGAAAATATACCTAGGCCTATGCCTACTGAAGTTTGATCACTTTCGTTCACCGGTTTCTCACAAAATCAAAATGGCGCTGTCCACGATAGTTGCGGGCAAGACATTACACACAGGACATTTTGCTGTCAGTTTATGTAAATCATGCTCTCGGTGAGTGAAGTTGTCAATGATGCAATGTTTTGCCATTCGTTACAATACTAGTAATTAATTTACATTTTAAATTACATTAGGTAAAAAATAAATCTTGATCTAAAAACTAGGCCTAGCGAGAGAGCGAGGTATCTAGGCCCCACCTACCAACCAACCGTTGCCGTCAGCCAATCGAGTTTATCGGGCTCGGGTCGAACTTTTAGGCTAGATTGCAGAATTTCTACCTTCATACATTATTTGCAACTTAATTGCTGTTGGTCACCTATATAAAATAATATTAACATATTAGGCCTATGTAAGCCTTCATAGGGCCATTAAAAAATTATCCCATCAATAAATCATGTTTTTCTATGTAGCCTAGCTAGGCTAGGCAGCACCCCTGGCCTTCCTTAGGCTAGGCAGCCCTGGCCTTAGTTAGGCTAGGCAGCCCTGGCCTTAGGCCTAGCCCAGTCCTAGCTACTACAGGCCTAACCCAGACTGTATAGTAAGGCTGGGCGGGGAATATATACTGCAGGGAATATATAGTAAGGCCTGCAAAAATTTGCCCAGAAATCTGTCCGCACATTTTCAAAAATAAGGGCCGATTTCTGCGCAGATTTTACCGAAAATATAGGCTTTTTTGGACCAAATCTTAACCAATGCAATTATGCATCAATTACGATAATGCAAACCTATTTTCCTGGCGAGTTCCGCGCAAATTTGAGCTGATTTTTTTAGATTCTCTGCGCAGCTAAAACACTTTTAACAGTATGGATACTTAAATTAGACCTAGTAGTGTGTAGCAAACGCCTAAGGCCATGCAGTTGCGAAGCAATTCTGCCAGGATGAAATAATGTATAAACACCACACAGAAGGCCTGTTGTCGTTAAATTGTGATTCATCATATGGCATGGTTATTGTTACACCAGTTTGAAATGAATTTTCATTCTGATTAGATCTTAAACTACACTGCCTCATGTGTATAGTTTAAATCACCTTATTTGTCAAATATTAATCATAAAACATATGTGCATAAGGCCAAATAAAATTAATTGTCTCACATCCAGGATTTGAAATTATTTTTTGGTGAGGGTATTTACAGTTTGCTTTTTAATATTCTATATACTAATGGTAAACAGGCTGTTAAATAGTAAATATATATATATATATATTTTTTTTATAAAAGAAGTAAAATGAATCTTTGTAACGTACTTCTGACATTTATGTTCCTGCCTCTTCTTAGGTTTGACACTATTCTTTAAGATAGTCATTATTTTTATTGTCCATGGAAAAATTAATGTTTTTTTGAAAAATAGCAAATAGTAAATTTTACATGAAGCTCCAAATTTTGATGAGGGTAGGTACATGAAACTAGCAACATAATTTTATTTGGCCTTAATTATTTCAAAGACAAAAGAGATGTTTTTTAGTCACTTTGATAAATTTTTCAGGGTAAATTTTATAAGTACAGAAAATATTGATATGATTTACATAGGCCTTCTGTATAAAATTCTAATTTTAATCTAATTTGTAAAGTAATCATGCATTTAAACAGCACAAGAATATATATTTCAGCCAATTCAATATAAACAGAAAAGTAGATTTCTCCTTACACACAACCATAGAAATACCATTAGGCCAAAAAAAAAATATTTTTGTGTTGGCCACGTTTTGGGAAAATACAAAAAATGAGTAGGTCTGTAGGAAAACTTTTTTTATAAATTATTTTTAAACCAAAAAATTTGTTTACGCTTAAAAAAATAGAAAATACACAAATAATACACCAATTTTGGATTTGCATCGCGTACTATGGACCAAAATAGGCTAGGCCTTGACCACCCTAGCCTAGTCCAAGGCTATTCCAGCCTTATTAGCTCATGAAAAAAAATATTGTTCCTTGTAGTTTTAAAAAAAAAAAAAAAAAATCTAATAATGCCAACCCAGAATTTCGTAAAAATTTTGGTCGGTCAGGTGTGGCCAACACAATAATATTTTTTATTTGGCCTTATTATTGTACTGTATTAAGCTAAATAGACTAATCAGGGTTCCGTACAATATCTATTATTTATAGCCTATTTTGCCATCATGGCCAAACTGGTGACATTTCATTTTTTTCATCCCTTCAAAAATCCTCATTATTCATGTATTTTGTGTTTTATGGTCAGCTTCAACCAGATCCGATTTAGTCGATACCCAAAAAATTATGTGGAACCGATCCCAAACCCAGAGGTATTCAAATCAGGTGCACTTCCTATTGACGTCAGCACACCGGTCAAAGCTGCTTATAATGATGTCTCCTCCTCGTTAACTGCAGATCCATTAGCAAAGTGAGTACAAATAGCAATGTGATTGGGTATCATCATTTGTTGCTCTGTCATGATTGGGGTGGGAAGGGCTCTGGCTCTGTTGTGTGTCAGAAAAAAATTCCCTTGCAACTGAAGCATTATATCATATAAATAATAACTTTTCTCATCATGCTTTTTGATGGTATGGGGGGGGGTGTGGGGGGGGGTAGGGGGGGGGGAAAGGGTTTTTTTTTTTATACTGTAGTGATTTTGCTCAAACCATAGAAACCCAGTGGTGGATACAGGATTTTAAATAGAGGAGGACCAGTAAAGGCCTTTCACAGATGGGGTGTCAATACCACCTCATGATTGGGTCTGAGGTAATAAAATTATTATGGCACCTCTAGATGACCGGAAATGGCACTCTCAGAATTTGAATATCATTTTTTTCTCCTCTATTTTTGTATGGTTTTAAACAAATTAGAAGAAGCTGACTGGGCCCCCTTGAATCTGCCACACCTGGGCCTGTTGCACAGTATACTTGCAAAACTTAATTACGGTGCTGTATTATTGGAAATAAATTTCTCATCTTTTCAGTAAATTTATAAATGTTATGATGGAAGGTGGCAAGAAAGAAATTTGTAGGAAAATAATGGATAAGGTAAGAAAATGTTGCAAATGTCATGTTACTGTATTTAATGCTCAGCAGCTAGCTCTTGTCAGCTAAGCTTGTGGTAGCCACTCTGTGCACGCTGAACAATGGTTCCTGGTTCAATTCCCATCGCTACTCTCTTTCGTTTCAGCAGAGTGCTGAAATTAGTTAAACTTGCCTAAGTCGACTTTGCCTGACTCGAATAATTTCTAAGTCGAATAATTTCTAAGTCAAACTTATTTTACATGCCAAATTGTTGTGTTTTCCATTAATTAACAATCTGTAAGTCAAATTTTATCTAAGTTGAACAATTTTGCAGCTGGCATTTTAGATTCAACTTAGACAAGTTCAACTGTACACTCAATATTTTTTGTATTATTTGAGAGTAGTATAGCTCAGTCAGCAGAATTGGTGGGTAGCCAGTGGTGTTTTCACCTAACCATAGAGATCTTGTCAGACATTGGATCCCTGTTACAATTCAAAATTGCTACTCTACTTTTGAGGGCATGCTGGCTTCAGTACATGTTAAAATAGCACATTATCTTTTTGTAAGACGTTTTAAAGCCATTGGTTCATGTGCAGTATGGGCAATGTGCACATGAAATAATGCAGTACAGTCTTCAGAAAATCATTTCAGAGTGTGCTAGCCAGTCCACCTCCAGAAGCACCTTACTGGGAGGTTTGTTCATTCTTGTTATCATGTATGGTTTTGCTAAACACTGAGACATTGGCCGTATTCGACTGGTTGTTCTTTGTTAAACCATGCCCACAAGCGCAGTGGTAAAATCCTACTTAACAAAGACGACCAGTCAAATAGAAATCTAAATACTCGACAAAACAAGATGGCTGCAAAGTTACCGCGATACACGCTGCATAATCAAGATTACATCAGCTTGTGACAGTATGGGGTTTTCGTAAAAAAATGTTTTCATACAGTTTTTGAATTCTGTTAGCCTACAATTATTTTTTGACTTCATGTGCGTAAATATTATTATTTTATTTTCTGGAAATTTAATCTAAATTATATTGTTTCTAAACTGACCAACCGGCCATGTTTGTTTTGGTCATGTGGATAACTTAATGCTGGTTATAACGCACTCTTGTTTACTTTAATTTTCATTGTCAACGAAGTCTATTTTACAAACCATTCAAATGAAAATAATGCTCAACGAAAAATCATAGACAACGAAATGAACCAGTCGAATAAGCCCATTGTTTTCTTTTTATAGACATTTTTTTTTATATGGTATGAATATAGAAGGATGTCTACTATATTAATTTTTTTTTTTCAGACATATTTTGAGATAAAGAGAATTCAATATGGTAAATTCCTTAAAGCAAGTGAGGAGAATAAATCATCAATAGAGCTTAATCCAGCCGTAATCTTCCATCAAGCTATTGAAAACTCAAAGCCGGTCATTGGTTTAACTTCAGTCAAACGAGGAGGAAAAAGCTACCAAGTAAGAACTCATTCTAAATCCCCGTCCAGACTATCAAATTTTATTTAACAAAAACATATGGCATGCCTAAATATGGTCATGATGACATCACATCATTACCATATATAGGTACTTTATGACTATATATGGTCATGATGACATCACATCGTGACCTTATATAGGCACATCATGACTAAATATGGGCATACAACATTTTTTTTGTCAAGTAAAATTTTATAGTGTGAAAAGAGCTTAAGAAGATATTGGTTTCTAGTGTGGCCAAAGCATTGGAAGTACTACAGTAGACATCACAATATTTCGATTAGTAAAGCTTGGTTTCCATACAGTGTTTTCAGTGCAAACGTTGCATCCCCGACGCAATCAAGATGGCTCCCCGACTCGACCAAACCAATCAGCATCACCTAAAGCTGTCGGTGATAGCATGTAGCGATTTTATGGAAATCACGCTTTAGCATCAGGAGAATTACTGTAGTTAGAAGAACCATACCAAAATACCCTTCCTGTTAACGTGTTAGAGTATGTAAAAATCAAAACTTTAAAACACTTTTTTGATAGAGAAACACACCAGGTCTTTAAAAAAATGTAAACAAGAAGTGTAACCAACAGAAAATCTAAATTTTCAACCACCATGCAGAACTTAAAGAAGTATTCTGTTTTTTATTGTATTAATAGTCAACATCACTATTATAATTATCATTAATATTATATTTAATATCAACAAATATGTTTTTTGTCTTCTGATCTTTCTAGGTTCCAACACCTTTAAAAGAACCAAGGCAGCGTTTCCTAGCAATGAAATGGATGATTACAGAATGCAAAACAAAAGATCTTAAAACACACATGCCAGAAAAATTAGCTGAAGAACTACTAAAGGCCTATGAAAATACGGTATTGTACAATAAACACTGTCACAATTTTCTGACTACAGCTTTATTCTCACTGACAAAGTTTATGTGACCCATGATTTGCCCATATGAGGCATGTTGTGGCAAAATGGCTAAGTTGTAGCAAAAATTGAAATTCAAGTTATTGGTATAATCAGATACCTGAGTATGTGATCTTTAAAATGAGAGGTCATTCATTGAAATTGGACATTTCGAGCATAAGGTATTGGAAAGTGAAAGTACAGTACTCTTAGAATCAAGATAAACATGATTTTGAGTAATTGCCTTTCAAAGTTATTTGTGCATACCTTGTTTTAATAATAGAATGAACTATCAAAATAACATTTAATAAACAATTTGTTGTCCACTTCCAGAACTAATACTTTGGTACATGATTAATAAGACATTAAACTGTAGATCTATAATGAAAAACAAATTTGGATCTTTAGGCAATTTTTTGAGCTCCCATATTTTATAGCTCATTTACTCAATACTGGCCTGTGCGGCAACTTAACCATTTCGCCACGACATGCCTCATATGTGTATGATGGTGGGGGAGGAGAGCAAAGTGGTTTCATCCCCTTCAGAGGCCAAGCTCCCCTCCCCCCCCAGGAAAACATTTTTGGGGCATATGGTAATGTATTCTAAAATGTCTCAGAAACAGCTTAAAATGGCCAAAATTTTCAGTTAAGTACTTGAGCCATTAGAGCTTCACCCCTGGACCCTATCTGATAAATTAGCCTCCCCTGTCCAGTTTAACTTGCGTAATAAAATGAACTTTATTATCATCATCTTCCTCATTCTTGTGTTTATTCGCACAGTAGTGCTTTTATAACATAATTTGTTGTTTTTTATTTTTACTTACAGGGTAATGTTATCAAGAGAAAACATGATCTTCATAAAATGGTTGAGTCAAATCGAGCATATGCACACTTCAGATGGTGGTGAGGAATCTGTTATAACAAAGACATTGAAGTATAGTATCTATGGATTTCATTGGCAGAAATCACATATATTTAACAACAATCAACTTTTGAAACCACACCCACTTATTGATGATGTCATCATAAGCCAATAAAGGTGTTGTGGAGTGTTAACAGTTCACAGAGTGGGGTGATGCATATTTACTGATACATTAAAATACAGCCGGAAAACCAGTCTTTAATATAGTAGATAACTGTGATAATGGTTCTTCAGTGACTTAAGTGGATATATGGACTTTAAAAATAGCACACCAAAGCCTGTTACCACACATGACTCTGCTCCTGTTTCCTTCAAAATATTATATCAATTTTTGTTCCATATGTACTGGCCTACGGACTCACTTTCTCTTGTTTTTTCTAGAACTTAAATCTCAGCCAAATCACTTCTTTGACCAGGCACCTGTGATTTGGAATCAACTTCCACTTAACATCCGTCCGACTTCATCTCTCCTTAAAACTTCATCTCTCTACCAGTTTGTGTCTCTCCTTAAAACTTACCTGTTTCAATATATTAATGGTCTTATAGTGCTGGGAGACACCAGTAAAGAGTGCTTTATAAATGCAAATTATTATTATTATTATTATAATACAGATCATTTTCGATCTAATTGGGCTGCAGAAGGATTTCAATTTTACCATGATCACAAATTGGCAATAGCGGAGACTGAATTGCACGTGTGACATACGTATATGTAAAACAGATAAAAATCACTTAAAACTATAAATTCAGATTAGTAGTATTGTACATCATTAAAGCAAAAAAAGACATCAAAATCTAAAATAAGTCAGATTTAAAAGGTTAGGGACATTTCTTGATGTAATTATGCAGCTAACCTTTTGAAGACTCGTTTTATTAATAAAAAAAAATGGAAAAAAAAAAAAAAATTGTATCAAAAGTGTTTATTTATATGCCAGTAACCACATCAAAAATGTGGTGCGGTATGTGTACAGCCATCATTATTATTTAACTGCAAAATATTTTTCTATAAAAATTTATATGAATATAATTGTACACCACAAAGTTCAACAGAGTTACAGTATTTATTTTTTTATTACATGAAAATAGCTTTATTCCATGTTAGTGAAAAACATTTTTCTCATTTTTTTTGCTGAGAAAGCAGAATTAAGATAATAAACATGATTTAAACTTAAATCAAATTCAAATGAATTGAAAGGGTATGAAATGAATTTTATTTGGTTTTTTTTTAAATGTCATACTTGACAATTACTGTAATGACAAATTTGGAAAGCAACCAAATTTAAATTGCTTGTTTCACAATCGATAAATTCTGTACATAATTTTTTAGTCTTTTATTCTTTGAAATCCAGTCTGGATACAGTAATAAGAGGAAAAAGGCAGAACTTACGTAGAAAGGATCATTTTATATATTTATTCACCATAATTTGTGTGTGCAACCTTTGCAGAACACATCTGCAATAAAGGGGGTCTGAAGTAGTTGTTGAAATTGAATAGGCAATGGCCCTGGACAGGTCAACGGCCAGCAGTGACCTGAATAGCTAATGATCATTTTGTACAATGTTTGAACCCTAGGCATTCCAGGAAACCAGTGTTTCACTGAAGAGTTTCTAAGATAAGACAATGACTATGCTGACGGCATTACCTCTTTATGAAACAATTTAAGTGTTTTTTAGGTGTTTAGTTACTATGAGGGCACAAGGGTGGCACTAGTGAACCCCCCCCCCCCGTTGGAGAATTTCCAGCAAGTTTGTCGGGGAAAATGAAATCTTGACCGCCGAAAGTACAATTTAGGTATGCCTTACTAAGCTGTCAAATTTTAGGGATTAAAAACTTTTAGTGCGAGCAGTGCCACTGTATGTGTGAGGTGTATACTATCGCGATTGTATGGGTTGCGGTGGTAGCGTAAGATCTTCCCCGACAGGGTGCTGGTACCTCTGACAGGTGGTTATGTACACCCCACAGGGGCCTCTTAACTTGCATGGTTTCTATCAAATTATCATTTTTAAATAAAGAATACCATAAATAAAGAATACCATAATCAAAACAATTTTTTTCTTGACCCCAGGGGGGTTGCCCTAGACTCTCCCGATGGTGGAGCCCTTGTCGGGGAATTCCTCGGGGATACCTGGCGCGGCGCCGCTCCTGTGAGGGAAGTCTTTTGTTTGATCAAACTTCTAAAATAAATAATACAAAGCTGTGGCATTTATTTTAAAAATTTATTACGATACTTCTGATTGAATATAGAAATATTTTACTAATTTTACATGTTCGTACATTGTGTAACAATTACATTAATTTTTAACTAAAAAAAATTACTTTACTAAATAATACAATTTCATTTCTTTGGATTCTTGCTATTCTAGCTGGAAAACTCAATTGACAAAATAAAAAATATTCCGCATCCAAATTATTTGCTACTATCAAAAATCTATGTGATCCATATCGTTCTGGTAATGTGTACTTTTAGTACAATTTCATGTACATAATTATTATTATAGAAATAAATCGGACATACATGTCTCCCTAAGTTAGATAAAATTATACAGTATTTAGGAGCTATCAAATCTTCTTATCTTGATAGCAAATTAATAAAAGCAACTTATGAAAGAACCGGTGGTCTTGCACGACTGAACCTGCTTAAGTGGTTGCAAACAAAATAATTCATACTAAGTATTATTGCTTTATGCCATTAACATATGTGCAAATAAAAAGCACTCTCAATAACTCTTAATAAATTAAAAAAATACCAAGCTCTGTCCAAAGTATATTGCACAATACTGTACTATTACATGAGGTACAACATCAAATACATCTCATCTACAGACACAATCGGTACCTGCAGTCCTGTGACATATAGGTGGGAAAAAATTGTGTACAGAATGGAGGGAGTGATGCTCAGTCAAGGAAAATGCATGGCTTCTACAGAGTGTTTCTGGCATATCAAGAAGTGCATTCCCCCAAAAAAGCTCGCCCCAATCATTTGCCTACTCCCACCCCGCTGAAAATGTCGGATGCAAAAATATTATGCTCAAGTAGTTAAATATCTTATTTTGAGACCTCACTTAATCATCAAAACCCCACTTTCCCTTCAGCCCCCATTTCAAGATTCGTAGATATGCCACTGACTGTAAGGTACATCAATGGTGTTGAATAATGTTGGTTGGAATGCCACTAGGCTAGCTCAAGGTTCACAAGTAATTACATTAATTCCAAAGCATAAAATGTAATTACAAACACTAGAATGAATTTAAAAACACTAATAAACAATCATACTGCCTTCTAAAACATGACATGTCCTTTTCCTATACCTTACATACACTGCATTATTGGGACCAGATTACCTTATTAGTAGGCCTACCTATACTAAACCTTCAGATTTAGTGTTGGTTTGAAGTTACAACAGCTGATGTTATCATCAGTGTACATTTAGTTGTGGTGTTGGTGAAGCTACCAAATATTATATTATCAGTAGTACTAATTTAACAAACCTGTTATCAAAGACATACAACAACTTGTTTTTCCTGGTGTTGGTAGTTTATTACCAAATACCAGAAAAACACATGATAGCACCAGACTACCACATAATTTCATTTTTAATACTGATTTGTCTGGTTTGCAGTGTGACCGATTACCATAACACAAATAATAGCACCACTAGGTTGAGTACTCATAATGTTTAACACTTGACTTCTTTAAAATGGTGAATTCATACCAAGTTTAGTTCCAAATTGCAGCTTTGTTCTCTTCTGCCATTTTTCAAACACTCTGAATAAGAAAAATAGTCAAAGGATGATGTTGTATAATTAAAAGGTTTTACCCAGAATTTATTTTGATATAGTGTTTCAAATGAGAAAAAATGTTTAATGTGTCCCATGAACAATTTAGCACATGTCTTCTGCTACATTGCATCCATGCGATAGCACATCTGTGTAAAATTAGTATGTATCTTGTGTAATATCTAAAAACAGACATGGCAGAAAAAGCATGGATCCCTAAACATGAAACTGGAGTGCAGCACATCTTTCAATGCATTATCTTGGTAGCAATATCCTGAGAATCTACGTAGCATGTCAGTGTCATAGGCCGTTGTGTGGACGTCCTTATATTCTCAAGAAAAAAATGCTGATTCTGTAGTTCTATCCTAGAGTTGTAAAGAATGCATTTCCTGGCAAATAGGAAAACAAATTTTCCAGGGGGTTGGCGTGGGGGTAATAGACATGCCTCATATTCCCTTAGTTGGAGGCAGGGTTCCCAATTCTCCCAAAGTCGCGGGAGAGTGCTGAGTCAACCAGAAATAGAGATGGTCTTCCAAACTCCCACAAGTAAGCAAGAATGTCCTAGAAAATAACCAATCTCCTGCAAAATTCATAATATTTGCATGTTTTTTTACTACTTTACTATCAATTGTCTCACAGAAATCAGTGGCGATGGCTACCACCAAGCGCAGAAAAATAAAATTAAATATGTTAAGAAAACTCATTTAACCAGATCTTCCAGAAGGGATTTTTTTCAACCCAGGGGGCCCCTGGGAAGGAGTTGTAGGAAGAAAAGTCTCAAGCTTGCAAATTCGTCTAACTTGGAATCTCTGCCCCCTTGCGTGTAACATTTTACGTTGTGTGAACCTTGAAAAAGTTGTAATGAGATAATTCATAGGTCACATGGCACCTAAGATAAAGTCTCAATATCATTATGTGTAGCAATCAACATATTAAAACTAAATAGCTTTATAACTAAAGAATTAATACTTACTGTATATCATGAAACTTGATGGCTTCACATAGTGGCAGGAGAACAAGAGGCCATAGCAGTGCTATTAACCATACTGACATTGGAACATCGTACAGGCTAAATTGATGCTCATCTGTCTTCCACCAAATTAACACATCCAATCCAAAATAAATAACTTGTAACATATGTTAAGAAAACTCATTTAACCAGATCTCCCAGAGGGGATTTTTTTCAACCCAGGGGGCCCCTGGGAAGGAGTTGTAGGAAGAAAAGTCTCAAGCTTGCAAATTCGTCTAACTTGGAATCTCTGCCCCCTTCCGTGTAACATTTTACGTTGTGTGAACCTTGAAAAAGTTGTAATGAGATAACTCATAGGTCACATGGCACCTAAGATAAAGTCTCAATATCATTATGTGTAGCAATCAACATATTAAAACTAAATAGCTTTATAACTAAAGAATTAATACTTACTGTATATCATGAAACTTGATGGCTTCACATAGTGGCAGGAGAACAAGAGGCCATAGCAGTGCTATTAACCATACTGACATTGGAACATCATACAGGCTAAATTGAAGCTCATCTGTCTTCCACCAAATTAACACATCCAATCCAAAATAAATAACTTGTAACACAAGTCTAAATAACAACAAAGGGATAGAATTACAAGAGGTCCAACTGCCTTGATTTTACAATGAAACAAAAAACAAAGTACTACTACGAAATGGGGGGGGGGCGTCCTATTAAAATGCGAATGGAGTTTAAAACTCGACTATGCTTTCTATAGACGCAGCACACGTTCGATGTGAACGCCTTTTATGTTCTTTTGAAGGGCACCCTCTAGTTTGTGGTAGTACATTTTGAGATACAATACCATTTCAACAAAACCCTGAGAGTTGACCTGTTGCAGTCCTATACTCTGATAAAAACAACAAGAACACATAATGATGACGCCAAACTACATTGTAATATGGGAAGGTCCCACTATGCCAAGATTTTTTCTGATAACATATCAAATTTTTAAAAAATTCTCTGGTAAAATTTAAAGTCAGTAAATATGAATAAGCGCTTATTATACTTACACAAGAACTATCACCACACACCAAATCTTATTCCCAAATGGCCTTTTCTTCACTAAACTCTTGAAACGATGAGCAAAGCTTGCGGAGGCAACAACTATTAAATAAGAAAATATAATTGGCAATTAAGCTATCTCCGCACTATCAAATTGTATGTGACAAAAAACCGTTGCATGCCCATATATGGTCATGATGTGCCTATATATGGTCATGATGTGATGTCATCATGACCATACTTAGGCACTAAACACGTTTTTGTCAAATAAAATTTGATAGTCTGAACAGGGCTTAAGATAGTTTACAGGGATTTAATGTAAACAATTCCCCATGGTGCTGAGTATATACAATGTCTTCTGTATCTATAACAGAAATTTATAATTAAAATGAAATACATACCAAAATAGAGCACCAGAAAGAAAGCAACCAGATTCTGGGTTAACAGGTAGCCATTGGAGAGCTCATCATTCAACCCATTAAATGGTTCACTATTGTTCCTAAAAAATAAATTGTTAAAATCCACTAGCAAAAAATACAATACTAAGCAAATAGATTAGTTGCGTATCATACACTATGTGGAAATTATTATACGAAGGTTAGATTAATGCAAGAAAAAACTGCTGAGGGCATACAAGGCTCGAAGGAATATATTGAATGCATTAATCTAACTTTCATATTAAACACTATATCTAAAGTTAATTGACGGTTCTTATCAAACAATCACAATGCTTATTCAATGTATGTGTGGGTCTGTTTGTTCATACAATTTTATTGTTGTTTTTTAGTTCGGCAATTTCCTGGTTTAGATAGTAAAACAAAAATTTTAAATTGTAGGAGCTCTTTCCTTTGTATGACAACATTAGGATCTAGAACCAAGTGATTATAGTTATTTGCATACGCAAGAACTGTGAGTTCTCGTCCTCTGAATTTTAGAATACGGTCAAGAACGAAGGAAGGTAAATGAAACTGGCAGAAACTCTCCTAGTGTTATGTCGAGTGATGAAAAACTCCCTAATACAATATTGACTGTAGAGGACACGATCATTACCAATGTATGCTATCACACTATAGAGTATACAAAACTACCCTATGATGTTTGTATCATATTATCAAAAAGCTTACAAAATATACTGCTCTATCGCAAAAATGTATGCTACATGCCACAATCCTATTCCAATATAACAAGGTATCTCACAAGGCTTATCCAATATATTATACTATACCACAATGCCTTTTACATGCTTCATTAAATATGCAATACCAATATTTGATAGCCCTAAAATCCATGAATCATGCAGACAATCCCTTAAAGCTCTGAATATGTTAATATGCTAGATCTACTTACCTATTACCTAAAAGAAAGTGACAACTTCCACTGTTTTCAGCATTCATAAGGCAGAATTCATTAAGGGTAATTGCCTCACAAAGCAGACAGATGCCAACAGATGATAAAAACTTCACCACAAAAAATATTATGTATATTATAATGACCTGAAGATAAAAGAAAGAACACACTGAATAATATGAAACCAAACACTGCATGCATGTGTGAAAAATCAGTGCTAAAGGTGTCTTTAGTGCTAAAGTGCAATGCTGCCCATGTGTTTGTCAATGCTGTTTACACTACAGATACAAACAATAGTAGAAAATAAGAACTTGGTAACAAGTGTGATCTCACAAAATATCTTATTCATCTCACACATGCAATCCAAACCATGTGAAATCTCAGATCAGTAACAACTTTGCATAACTGAGGGTGCTATCTCTTTACAATCGTTATAACTGCTTCTTGGGTGTACCTGTCTACTTGGTTTTGCAGTTACCAGCCCAGGCTAGCCTAATGAACATGGTACTCCATGCTGTTCTCTGAACTAATTGTTCAAGGCAATATGTGCATAAGCATTGCAAAACTCGCGCTGATGTACATTTGTGACAATGAGCTTAAGCACATAGCATCAGTGGGAGGTGAATTTCCGAATAACTTTGTGGAGTCCCATGAATTATTTCAAAAATTTACCTCCCAGTCTTTGTGTCTGTTATTCTTGCCGACTGCTTGAGTCATAATCTGTTTATCCACTGGGCAAGCAAGTAAAGAGTGACTTAACATCGGGATTATTATAATAACTACCCACAGCAGTTGTCCTCCAGTCAGCGGTGGGGGTAGCATTAGGAGAGAGGACAGTAAATATAACATGCTAAGAGATACCAAACAAAATATCAGGAAAATTTCAGTTGTATAAATTGCTGAACTGAAGCCCCTCGCCTAAAAAAGAAAGGAAAATAAGAAGTGGTTAATGAATCATGTTCAATGTATGTAAATTTCTTTAGGACCTTGAACATCTTCAAGTGGTTGAGCAGTAAGGCAGGAGTGCCGTTAACAAGAGCCTTAACATCGACAATGGTTCGAGCCACTACTAGCTCAGGGTTCGGTTGGTAATAATAATAACAATAATAGTGTAGTTTTATATAGCGCACATATCCATCTAATGTAAGATGCTCATGCGCTTGATATGTGGACTAGGAACTCGATCAATGGCTTTCTTTGCCCCTAAGGGTCCCTTCGTGTCTGTGCTACCCGGTGAACTGGTACCAGCAACTCTCGTCATCCACCACAGGGGCTGTCTGTTCCAGTATACCGGGGTATCCCTCTACTCGTCTCGAAGGATGTATTGGGTTCTTTATAGTGCACACGAGCCATTGTATACACCGGGCCTACGGTTTATAGACCTTATCTGAGAAAACTTGTTCTACCACTAGAACCAACGGCAAGCGTGCCGTTCGAACCAGTGCCGATATTATGGCTATAGCTTGCTAACTGCTCGGCCATTCGACAAGTCTTCTCGGATATGGACTTGAATGGAGATCCAGTGTATACATCTGGCTCGTGTGTACCTTAAAGAACCCATTGCATCTTTTGGAAGAGTAGGAGGTTATCCTGATGCTATGGTTCGTTTCAGCCCCTGTTGTTGTGGAATGATATGAACATGTAGCTAGTATAAGCCCTTCTTTACTGCGGCTAGGTAGTCCCAGACCACGCCCATTCAATACAGCACAATGAACTGCAAGTTATGGGTCATTTTCCTACATTTACCCTTTACTAACATCATTTTCATCATCATTTGCCATAGTTGTGGTCATCACTATCAAAAATACCACCATCAGCATCACAATTTCCAACAATCAAAATCTAATTAAATTTCAACTGACCTCCTTAATGAGTTTTGTGAGGCGAACATTGTCGTCCGTATGGAATGTTAAACAGCATGGCAAGCTGGCTAATTGACGAGTGACGTCAAGGGGTGAGTATTTTGTACGTAATAAAGACTGATGCGCAGGACGACCGGAACAAGTACTGGGCAGTAACGGATCTAACGCAAGGCTGAAAAAAAAAAAATATTCAAGTAGTTTCATATGATTTGCTTATTGTTGTACGTTAACATCCATTTTGCTTGGTTTATTAACGATTAAACACTCCTACAACAAAAAAATACAGTTCATAAAAACCAAGCCTGCTTCAAAAAATGCTAAAAAAAAGAGAAGTTTCTTAATCCACCTTTCCTGATTGTC